CCAGTGGTGTGATCTGGCTGGTTTAGTGTGTCATCGTACCCCAGTGGTGTGATCTGGCTGGTTTAGCGTGTCATCGTACCCCAGTGGTGTGATCTGGCTGGTTTAGTGTGTCATTGTTCCCAAGTGGTGTGACCTGTTTGGTTTAGTGTGTCATCGTACCCCCAGTGGTGTGATCTGGCTGGTTTATTGTGTCATCGTACCCCAGTGGTGTGATCTGGCTGGTTTAGTGTGTCATTGTTCCCAAGTGGTGTGACCTGTTTGGTTTAGTGTGTCATCGTACCCCAGTGGTGTGGCCTGTTTGGTTTAGTGTGTCATCGTACCCCAGTGGTGTGATCTGGCTGGTTTAGTGTGTCATCGTACCCCAGTGATGTGATCTGGCTGGTTTAGTGTGTCATCGTACCCCAGTGGTGTGATCTGGCTGGTTTAGTGTGTCATCGTACCCCAGTGGTGTGACCTGGCTGGTTTAGTGTGTCATCGTTCCTCAGTGGTGTGACCTGTTTGGTTTAGTGTGTCATCGTACCCCAGTGGTGTGGCCTGTTTGGTTTAGTGTGTCATCGTACCCCAGTGGTGTGATCTGGCTGGTTTAGTGTGTCATCGTTCCCCAGTGGTGTGGCCTGTTTGGTTTAGTGTGTCATCGTACCCCCAGTGGTGTGATCTGGCTGGTTTAGTGTATCATCGTACCCCAGTGATGTGATCTGGCTGGTTTAGTGTGTCATCGTACCCCAGTGGTGTGATCTGGCTGGTTTAGTGTGTCATCGTACCCCAGTGATGTGATCTGGCTGGTTTAGTGTGTCATCGCACCCCAGTGGTGTGATCTGGCTGGTTTAGTGTGTCATCGTACCCCAGTGATGTGATCTGGCTGGTTTATTGTGTCATCGTACCCCAGTGGTGTGATCTGGCTGGTTTAGTGTGTCATCGTACCCCAGTGGTGTGATCTGGCTGGTTTATTGTGTCATCGTACCCCAGTGGTGTGATCTGGCTGGTTTAGTGTGTCATCGTACCCCAGTGGTGTGATCTGGCTGGTTTAGTGTGTCATCGTACCCCAGTGGTGTGACCTGTTTGGTTTAGTGTGTCATCGTACCCCAGTGGTGTGATCTGGCTGGTTTAGTGTGTCATCGTACCCCAGTGGTGTGACCTGTTTGGTTTAGTGTGTCATCGTACCCCCAGTGGTGTGATCTGGCTGGTTTAGTGTGTCATCGTACCCCAGTGGTGTGATCTGGCTGGTTTAGTGTGTCATCGTACCCCAGTGGTGTGATCTGGCTGGTTTAGTGTGTCATCGTTCCCAAGTGGTGTGACCTGTTTGGTTTAGTGTGTCATCGTACCCCAGTGGTGTGATCTGGCTGGTTTAGTGTGTCATCGTTCCCAAGTGGTGTGACCTGTTTGGTTTAGTGTGTCATCGTACCCCAGTGGTGTGACCTGTTTGGTTTAGTGTGTCATCGTACCCCCAGTGGTGTGATCTGGCTGGTTTAGTGTGTCATCGTACCCCAGTGGTGTGACCTGTTTGGTTTAGTGTGTCATCGTTCCTCAGTGGTGTGATCTGGCTGGTTTAGTGTGTCGTCGTACCCCAGTGGTGTGATCTGGCTGGTTTAGTGTGTCATCGTACCCCAGTGGTGTGGCCTGTTTGGTTTAGTGTGTCATCGTACCCCCAGTGGTGTGATCTGGCTGGTTTAGTGTATCATCGTACCCCAGTGATGTGATCTGGCTGGTTTAGTGTGTCATCGTACCCCAGTGGTGTGATCTGGCTGGTTCAGTGTGTCATCGTACCCCAGTGATGTGATCTGGCTGGTTTAGTGTGTCATCGCACCCCAGTGGTGTGATCTGGCTGGTTTAGTGTGTCATCGTACCCCAGTGATGTGATCTGGCTGGTATAGTGTGTCATCGTAACCCAGTCGTGTGATCTGGCTGGTTTAGTGTGTCATCGTACTCCAGTGGTGTGATCTGGCTCGTTTAGTGTGTCATCGTACCCCAGTGGTGTGATCTGGCTGGTTTAGTGTGTCATCGTACCCCAGTGGTGTGATCTGGCTGGTTTAGTGTGTCATCGTACCCCAGTGGTGTGACCTGTTTGGTTTAGTAAGTCATCGTACCCCAGTGGTGTGATCTGGCTGGTTTAGTGTGTCATCGTACCCCAGTGGTGTGACCTGTTTGGTTTAGTGTGTCATCGTACCCCAGTGGTGTGATCTGGCTGGTTTAGTGTGTCATCGTACCCCAGTGGTGTGATCTGGCTGGTTTAGTGTGTCATCGTACCCCAGTGGTGTGATCTGGCTGGTTTAGTGTGTCATCGTACCCAAGTGGTGTTATCTGGCTGGTTTAGTGTGTCATCGTACCCCAGTGGTATTTCACGATTTCCTAAAACTACTAATACGTTTAAGATGTAGTATTCAGACCTTTATTACTTGTGAAGATCCAAGGTCTGACACACTGCTACACCTGTAGACTTGTAAAAATCCAAGCTCTGACACACTGCTACACCTGTAGATTTGTGAAGATCCAAGCTCTGACATACTGCTACACCTGTAGACTTGTGAAGGTCCAAGCTCTGAAGGGGGCACAGGTGGCCCAGTCGTCTAAGGCGCCGCGATTCGCTGTGCAGAGTTGCGTCCCTTGGGCACGCCAGAAACCTATGTTTCTAGGTTTGTCAGCACCATACCCGTGATCGTGGGTTTCACCGAAGTGGTAAACGTCTGAGTCCTGCATCACTTCGGGCTTTCCTCCCACATTAAGCTGACACGCCGTGATATAACTGGAATACTGTTAAAAGCGGCGTTAAACCCAACTCACTCACTCACTCCAAGCTCTGACACACTGCTACACCAGAAGATTTGTGAAGGTCCAAGCTCTGACACACTGCTACACCTGTAGACTTGTGAAGGTCCAAGCTCTGACACACTGCTACACCTGTAGATTTGTGAAGATCCAAGCTCTGACATACTGCTACACCTGTAGACTTGTCAAGATCCAAGCTCTGACACACTGCTACACCTGTAGATTTGTGAAGATCCAAGCTCTGACATACTGCTACACCTGTAGATTTGTGAAGGACCAAGCTCTGACACACTGCTACACCTGTAGACTTGTGAAGGTCCAAGCTCAGACACACTGCCACACCTGTAGACTTGTGAAGGTCCAAGCTCTGACACACTGCTACACCTGTAGACTTGTGAAGATCCAAGCTCTGACACACTGCTACACCTGTAGATTTGTGAAGGTCCAAGCTCTGACACACTGCTACACCTGTAGATTTGTGAAGATCCAAGCTCTGACATACTGCTACACCTGTAGACTTGTCAAGATCCAAGCTCAGACACACTGCTACACCTGTAGACTTGTCAAGATCCAAGCTCAGACACACTGCCACACCTGTAGACTTGTGAAGATCCAAGCTCAGACACACTGCCACACCTGTAGACAGGTGAAGATCCAAGCTCAGACACACTGCTACACCTGTAGACATGTGAAGATCCAAGCTCTGACACACTGCTACACCTGTAGGCTTGTGAAGGTCCAAGCTCTGACACACTGCTACACCTGTAGACTTGTGAAGGTCCAAGCTCTGACACACTGCTACACCTGTAGATTTGTGAAGATCCAAGCTCTGACACACTGCTACACCTGTAGATTTGTGAAGGTCCAAGCTCTGACACACTGCTACACCTGTAGACTTGTGGAGATCCAAGCTCAGACACACTGCCACACCTGTAGACATGTGAAGATCCAAGCTCAGACACACTGCTACACCTGTAGACTTGTGAAGGTCCAAGCTCAGACACAATCTACACCTGTTGACTCGTTACACTGTTACATCTGATTATACCTAACATAGACAGCGTTATAGTAACACGGCTCCCAATGATCTGTCATGAATTTGTTGGACAGACTGAGGGATTCTGAAAAATAGCGTTGTAGAGTCGACTCACGAAGCTGGCAGCTCTGGTCTACTGCAACATCCGATTGTCAACTCAAGTAGATTGCAGCTCTGGTCTACTGCTACACCCGATTGTCAACTCAAGTAGATGGCTGCTCCGGTCTACTGCTACTCCAGACTGTCAACTCAAGTAGATTGCAGCTCTGGTCTACTGCTACACCCGACTGTCAACTCAAGTAGATGGCAGCTCTGGTGTACTGCTACACCCGACTGTCAACTCAAGTAGATTGCAGCTCTGGTCTACTGCTACACCCGACTGTCATCTCAAGTAGATGGCAGCTCTGGTGTACTGCTACACCTGATTGTCAACTCAAGTGGATGGAAGCTTCGACCTGTAGATGTAAGTCTAGAAGATTGTTTAGTGGAAAACTCGCGGAAAAGTCTCGCCCACCCTATCTTTAGCCAATCAGGAAACATTAGTCGGCTCGTAGGCGTGTCCTAATTGTTTTTAGACTTACATTAAGGCAAATAGATTGGGTCCTCACAAATGATGGTGAAGAAATTATCATAGATTAAATGACCTGATTTGACCATGAACTGTTCTCCAGTGTGGTAAAGTGAGAAAACTGAACACGGCTTTTGTGTTGTGAAAATAACAAAATTCGTCAGTTCGAAAGACAAGAGATTCCAGTCACATTCGTTGTTCTACAAGACAATCACAAGATTCAAATTACAATAACTACCTTAGTTTGAAACAGCTGATTAGGCGGCGGCATCACAACAGAATGTATTAATGTGACGTCACCATTAGCTTCACCATGAGCTTGGTGACGTTGTAATCGTGGTGTTCGGATTGAAACTAATCATGCAATTCTGGTGCTATTTTCTCTAGGGGGAAACACTCAATGTTTGCTTTCATCTAATCTATGTGAATACAGTATGTGTAAAATACAATGTTTGCATATACCCCGCTACAAAATCGAATTACCAGTGACAGAGATGCATGCCACATCAAGTAAAAAGTGATAATCGAGTGTTCTTTACACCCAGAGTAAGGTGACCACGTGTCACCCGCACCACTGATTACGTAGTGATAACACAGTAAATGTATACTTGTAGCTCACGCCAGCAATCCAGTAGCAGAACACGTGGTGATACACTGAGCGGCACACGTACACATCCGTCTAACGGACAGGGACTTCTCAAAGGATTTTGTACACTTCTGAAGATGACCACTTTTAAATACCTTGCCTGGTTGCTTACATGTACCTCCCTGGTCTACTTTAGTAACTGCCAGGACAGCATTGCGTATGTTATAGAGAGACTGGAACAGTTTGAGGAGGAACTGTTTCATAACAAGGATGATATGAACCGTATGGAAAAAAGGATATTAAATATCATAAATGGCGCAAAGACGTCACTGAGGGCTGAGTTAAAGGAAAACATAGGGGATAAAGTGAGAGAAGCCATGGCCGAGATTCTACAAGGAGAGTCTCTTCAAGACATGGTGGAAAGTCAGGTTGTCTCTGAATTGCGGCATCTAAAACAGGGCTACCATCAGATGAAGAGGCAGATGCATCATGTCTCCAAAGAACTCAAAGACTTGCAGGACGAGACGAGCGTATTTCATGAAACTGTCCTGAAGGAGGCACGGGTTGGGAATCGAGACAACTCAAGTGACGTCTGTGTAAGAGACAAACATAGACTGGAAATAGAACTACAGAAGTGTGAGGTTACCACTGCTGATCTCAAGGCTGCCATCAAGCGCTCAATGACATTGAATGAGACGTGTCAGTTCCCAAAACAAAAACAGAAAACAACGTTTACTGTACATGATGCTTCCCCAGCAACTCAAAATGATACCTCTACATCCGGGTCACCTGGGTTGACAACGTTCATGACGACACCAAGGCTACCTGTGTCTACAACGTCAGTGACCACACAAAGACGACAAGAGGAGAGAAGTAGGATTCTGATTGCTCCACGTTGGTCAAGCACCAAGCATCAGTTCCGTCAACTCAACATTCACAATAACTCCCTCAGTGTCTATCCGTATCTCACCATGAATTATCTGTTGCCTATGTAGCGAAGACAAGGAAACTTCTGATTGGAAAGGCTCGTAAGATCGTATCATCTGCCCTTGATACAAGTCACGTGACAGTTCTCAGAGAAGGTGTACAGACATATGGTATGGCAGTGGATGAAGATCGGGACATTGTGTTTATGACAACAGACTTCCCACGACATTCAATTAGCCGCATGTCTACACAGGGGAAAGACTTTACAACCATCGTTAACTTGTCCAACTACGGAAATTGGCCAAGCGGAATTACACTTGACAATAAGCGAAAGAAGACATATGCCAGTAATGGCGGGAAACTGTTCATGGTGACATATGATGGTCAAGGTCTGGCAACATTAGCCACAGGAAGTGGCATGTATGCTGTGACTCTAGATCAGACAGCTGGTGTATTGTATTATAACAATGATAAGAAACTGATGAAGATGACCGTGTCCAATAATGTGAGTACAGAGGTGACCACTCTCACCGCTAGACCCTGCAACATGAGACTGTATAGAGGCACCATCTACTACGGCGGCTGTGGTTCTCCAATTGTAGGCGCAGTTGATGTGACATATAACACTTTAGAATATACTCTCAAGTCAGTAGGCATGGAGGGGGTTAATCATGTGCATCTATGTTTGATTCCCTGAATTCAATAATGGCTATTCTAACATGAATTTGTAAAATATTAGATTTGGATCATTCAGCCAGAGATTTCAAATCACAATAGCCACCTCTGATTGAAACAGATCTAAACCATTACCGGTTGGCATTTTGAAATAATGATAAATTTATGTTCAATTTCGGTTACTCCTATATTTAAACTGAAGAGGTTCGATTATTCAAAGCACGTGGTACAATAGATGTTGCAATAGATGAAGGAAAACAATAGAAATCGCAAGGCTTGCTTCCTTTAAATTATGGGTGCGACCTTTATGTTAGCTTATGAAAAGCATAATAATGTAAATACACATCATTATACTCAGTCTACAGGGTAAAAAGGTGAGAGTCCACTTGCGTTTCCTTAATTCAGACTGAAAACCCACTCAAAACACCAAACTCAACAATGCCGATTCACACACACACACACACACACACACGCACGCACGCACACATACACAATAACATACACACACGCACACACACATAGACAATAACACACACATACACACACACACACACACGCGCGCGCGCGCGCACATGCGTGTTTAGCTTTCTGATTAATTGCACTTCCAGTTCTCAAATAAAATATTACTACTGACTTTAGCTTGAAGGAAAACCGCTTTTGGAAGTCATAAAATTATGTGTCTGATGTGGTTTTCAATCCATTATTACCATGAATAATTCGTAAGCTATTCACCTCAACGCCACGTGAGTCCCCTGGCTCAAGTGCTCTAGTTGCCATATAATTAAGGACAGGATCATTGCTTGCTCGCGTAAATCACCACATTTGTTTGTGTCCAGTAGTTTTCTGTATCTGCTGCACGTAAGTAGCCTGTCAGTTTATGTACACGGTATGAGTTTAAAGTCTTTGATCTGCTGAACCTAAAGCTCAGCTATGTGTGACGATCTCACCGGAACAATAACATCATAGATAATCCCCTTGATGCAGCACACACGGTGGTCCTCAGACCCACAACACTTAACAACATGTGTGAACTTGGCAATGGGAATGGCAGGATGGTTCTGTGCTTGAAAGCATATGGTACAATGTATTATACACTCAGGGTCATTAGCCAGAATAATATTGTTTATGTCCTGTAAGTCATGCTGCCAATGCATTGCCTAATTATTTGTATAATTGTTGTTACACATGCATGGTGTCATGTTCACAGGCAATGAACATAGGTGTACATGCAGCCTATCTCATTCCGTGAAGGAAAAACTTGAATGAATGTTAACATTTCTCGTAATGTCTACCATCAAAGCTAAACAGTTGGAAATGAGCATGTGTTGTAAGATATATAAATTAAGGTTTGCTAATTCAATTCAACCTCCCGAAGAAGAGAGGAGTAAAGTTTGAGGCAATGTATTCTTGCTGTAGTTTCACAGGAACTTATCACATACCGTGTGATGAAACCCTATCGAATGGGATCAAGGGCATGTTTGCCCAATTCTGCACATTTTACAATGGCCATGAGAACAAAGGCCTCGTCCCTGGAACAAAGTGTTGTGTTTCAGTAACATGTGCCCCTTGCATAGTGTCCAAGATGTGGTACAGCAAGACCTTCACCTCATGCACACATTGGCAAGTCGGACGGGGACAGCGGAAGTAATTACTGAATGTCTTCCTGTACTTTGTGTTTCTTTATCATGACGAATGTGTATATTCTAGATTCCACTTGAATAGATTCCCACAAATAAACCACAGAAAGGTTGACACAAATTGTGCTGTTTTCGTACGAAACAAAACTCCTTTTGATACCAATTCGTTTGTCTCTTAACTTGCCAACACATGTTGTACAACCTTCCTGAAGGAGTGAACTCTGGCATCATCAACACCTCTAGGAACTCCTGCTTACGGCACTCTTTTTAGTCCATCATGGCAAGATGGAGTTCTATTTTCTCTGCCTGTCATCTTAATTATACTTACCAGTTCACGTTTTCTGCTGATTCTTTAAACACAAGACAAGACATTCCTGTCATCATTCGGAATATTCACCAATATACGTAATGTTTACTTTGAAAATAATGCTTCTCAAATCATTAGTGCTATTCGGGGACTGTGACAACCGATAAAAAACATTTGCCACTTATAAATACGAGCGTCGTCAGAAGGAGTGAGTTGAGGGAGAAGCGACTGAGAAAGATCTTTCACCCAATTGTGCTTTAGTGGTAAATTTAAAAACCCATTTGATCGGCAGAGAGTAGATTGCAACTAGGCTTGTGAACTGAAAATAGAGTTTAACATATTGTGGATACTGTGGATCATGAATGATGTTGAACTTTATCCGTTGTTTAGATGGCAGCCAATGAAGACTTTACAGTATGGGTTTGATGTATTCTTCACATGCTGCAATTGGGTAACAAACCATTGTTAGGCACCGTTTGTCTCCCTCTGATTATTATGACTTTAAAAAACGTCATGCATTTCTAGGTTTAAATAAAAACGAACAACATATCACGTTTTCATGGAGGCGTTTTGACTAGAGTTTGCAGCCATTTTAATGTGTGGTCATTTTGAGCTGTTACCGCCATTGATACTTTTGTATAGTTGAAGACACACTGCGTTAGATACGTCTAACAGGCGAATAGTCACACGTTAGTAACACTGCTAATAACTTCTCAGTAGTAATTCAACATACAACAGACATGATCTAAATACACAGAGGTATTAAATCTTGACACAGCCATACATTGCCAGGGCTTCAACCTTGATAGCTCAAACGACATTGGTTCAAACTAGTAGTTGCTTACCAAGCTTCTGTCTTCACAGCTGGACAACGACTCCGATCTTTGAACTTGTAGTGGGGACATCGACGGTTGTGCGAACCAAGTTCGGGAATTTTCTCATTTGAAATAAATATAGCATAAGCTGTATATAAGTCAATATATATAAGTCAAGCGTGGACGGGCCATTCACCCCAAGCGTCCAGCCAAGGCTCTAAGTTTGTTTGTTAACAAACTTTAGTCCGATGCTACCGATTAGCATTACATGAGTTATAAGACCATCATGTGGTTATTTAGTCACCACCTTAAAGGTACATAAGCCATACAATTACAAGGGGTGGTCCCTCTTGTCGGGCTTTTGTTGACGGAATAGTTTGTTTTTCTCTCAATCATTGTCTTAAGGCATACTGGAATAACGTGCACCACTGTACGTTACATAAAGAAGAATTGAGGTTACTAAAATATTCAAATTATGCTTGCAAATATATTTTGGAATAACGGAGACTGTGGTGTCATCTTTTGTGTCACAATGAGCCGTGTGATGAAGTAATAGTGGGGTGTTCCCTGGAACTAAACAATGCAAGACGAGCGTTGTTTTCTTTAGGGGTGACCACTTAATGGTTGAATGCTTCTTATACATGTGAGTAAAACACAAGTAAAATTCAACGTTTGATTATATACTACGACGTACCTAAATCACCAATAATAGCGATCCATGTACATGCTAAATCAGGTAAATAGTGATAACCGAGTATTCTTTACACCCAGGAGATGGTCTGCATGTTTGACCTGCAACACTGATTACGTAGTGATAACCCAGTAAATGTATACTTGTACCTTCCACCAACTTATCTGACGCAGACCACGTTGTGTCATACCGAAGGGTACACGTGCACATCACTCTAACGGACAAGGGCAGCTTACAGTATAGTGTACAGTGCCAAAGATGGCCGAGTTTAAACACCTTTCATGGTTGCTGATATGGACTTACCTGATCTGTGTTTGTAACTGCCAGGACAGTATTGTGTCTGTCATACAGAGACTGGAGCAGTTTGAGGAGGATCTGTTTCATAACAAGGAGGACATGATCAATATGGAGAAAAGGATACGAAATATAATAGTTGATTCAAAGACAGCATTGAGGGCTGAATTAAGAGAAAACATACGTGATCAGGTGAGAGAAGCCATGGCCGAGATTCTACAAGGAGAGTCTCTTCGAGACATGGTGGAAAGTCAGGTTGTCTCTGAATTGCGGCATCTAAAACAGGGTTACCATCAGATGAAGAGGCAGATGCATCATGTCTCCAATGAACTCAAAGACTTCCAGGACGAGACGAGCGTATTTCATGAAGCTGTCCTGAAGAAGGCACGGGTTGGGAATCGAGACAACTCAAGTGACGTCTGTGTCAGAGACAAACGTAGACTGGAAATGGAACTACAGAAGTGTGAGGTTACCACTGCTGATCTCAAGGCTGACATCAAGCGCTTAATGACATTGAATGAGACGTGTCAGTTCCCAAAACAAAAACAGAAAACAACGTTTACTGTACATGATGCTTCCCCAGCAACTCAAAATGATACGCCTACATCCGGGCCACCTGGGTTGACAACGTTAATGACGACACCAAGGCTACCTGTGTCTACAACGTCAGTGACCACACAAAGACGACAAGAGGAGAGAAGTCGGATTCTGATTGCTCCACGTTGGTCAAAGGTCCTGCATCAGTTCCGTCAACTCAACATTCACAGCAACTCCCTCAGTGTCTATCAGTATCTCACCATGAAGAATGTGGTATCTGTTGCCTATATAGCGAAGACAAGGAAACTTCTGATTGGACTTTACAATCCTAGTAAGATCGTATCATCTGCCCTTGATACAAGTCACGTGACAGTACTAAGAGAAGGTGTACAGACATATGGTATGGCAGTGGATGAAGATCGGGACATTGTGTTTATGACAACAGAATTCCCACGAACTTCAATCAGCCGCATGTCTACACAGGGGAAAGACTTTACTGCCATCATTGACTTATCCAAGTACAGAGGCATTCCAAGGCAACTAACTCTTGACACAAGGAGAAAGAGGATATATGGGTGTAATGGCGAGAAACTGTTCATGGTAACATATGATGGTCAAGGCCTGGCAACATTAGCCACAGGAAGTGTCATGTTTGCTGTAACCCTAGATCAGACAGCTGGTGTGTTGTATTATAACAATGATGAGAAACTGATGAAGATGACCGTGTCCAATAATGTGAGTACAGAGGTGACCACACTGACCACTATACCCTGGAACATGAGACTGTATAGAGGCACCATCTACTACAGTGGCCTTTCTTCTCCAATTGTAGGCGCAGTTAATGTGTCATATAACACTTATATAACACCATATACTCTTAAGTCAGTAGGCATGGATGGAGTTAGTCGTATTCTTCTGTGTTTGGTTCCCTGAATTCTATTAAGATATTCTTCAAAGAATTTGAAAATATTCGATTATGATTGGTCAATCAAAAACTTCAAGTCACATAACCACCTCTGATTGAAACAGTTGATATAATGGCTGCCTACCCTCGGAAGTAAATATTTATAAAACAAAACTTCTTTCTGAATCA